AGATCTTCTTTGACTTCTTTTATTATCATCTTGGAGTTTTCAGATACGTGTCCTATACATGTTTTGTTAGATTAACGCCTAAAACGTTCTCTTTTTGACTGATTGTGTTGTTGTATTTTTAACTTTGTTATTTATTTAAATAGTACATGTTTGGTTCTAATATACAGAGATACAATTGATTTTTATGTATTTATCTTGTATCCCATGACTTTGCCAAACTCATCTATTAGTTCTGGGGGTTTGCTTATAGATTCCTTGGGATTTTCAACATATACAATCGTGTCACCTGCAAATAGGAACGGTTTTATTTCATTCTTCTGATCTGTTTGCCTTCTATTCCATTTTCTTGCCTTTTATTGCACTAGCTAGGCCTTCCAGCAGTATGATGAATATGAGTGCAGGCACGGACATCCTTAACCTGTTCCCGATCTGAAGGGAAAGCATTAAGACTTTCAACATTAAGTCTAATGTTAGCTGTAGGTTTTTGGTATGTGCTCTTTCTCCAATTGAGGAAATGCCTCTCTATTTCTATTTTTCTGAGATTTTTTTAATCATGAATGTGTATCGAATTTTGTCAAATGTTTTTGTATAGTAATTGCTTTGATCATTTGATTTTTTTTTAGCCTGTATATGATGGTTTTTGAATATTGAGCCCCAGATTGATTTTTGAATATTGACCATCTTTGCCATGTTGTATCCTCATATTGAACCCTACTTGGTCATGATATATATGATTCTTTTTATATATTGCTGAGCTCTGTGTGCTAATATTTGAAGGACTTTTACATCTATAACCATGAGGGATATTGGTCTATAGTTTTCTTTTTTGTATTGTCGTTGTCTGGTTTTGATATCAGGGCGATGCTAATTTCATGAAATGAACTAGGACGTGCTTCCCTTTCTTTGATTTTCTAGAAGACATTTGTAAAATTGGTGGTAATTCTTCTTTAAACATTTGGTAGACTTCTCTGGTGAAGCCGTCTGGGCCTGGATATTTTTTCCTGGAGTTTTTAAGTTACACACTCAATTTCCTTAATAGTTATAAGGCTATTCAAACTATTTCATATTGGGTGGCCAAGGTAGTTGGTCTGAGAAAGATCTGTCAGTCTTTCGAACCCTTCCTCCAGCCTTTGCACTTTCTAACTACGGTACATTTTTCGAATCCAAGAGCATTTCTGTTCATTTATTCAAGTTCCAATCTGGTCTGATTGGCACTATATGTGATAAATATTCTTGAAGTTTCTAGATCTAGGACAGTTGTTAGTGAATTCCTGTTCCTTGGGGCTGGCATTTCATCTCAACTTCTTGTGCTAATAGTGTAGGCTATTTCTCTCTCTCTCCTTTCTCAACACTCATGCACATTTCTTAGTTACTTTTAAAAGAATGCCCTTGGAGAGAAGGAGAGATGTCATATGCTCTGAGTGACCATCTTTTCCACTAAATCTTGATCATTCTATGCTGAGTTCTTTCTAGTTCTCTATTCCGTTTCACTTTAACCTCCAAGTTTTGGACACTGCTCAGGCTCTCAAATACCCATCTATCACAATATCACCATCGTCCCTTTCTCAATTACCTCTCCCTACCCCTGTATCCTTTCTCAAACAAGATTAGTAGTACATCCACGTTTCATGTATATTTCAGTTTTTAAAGCCTTACCCAAGAAGATTTGTTGGTGAAGGATGATATTCTACTAGTCTCCCTGCCTGAAGTTTAGCATACATTCTTCTGTGTTTCCTGAGCTTCCACTTTGCAGGAGTTTCCTAGCTAGGATGTACAGAGCAGAATGTGGTCACTTATTACAGTGAGAATGGTATCTTTCAGTGAATTTTCAGATAAGGAACTTCTGGGGTTTTTTTTTTATTCCTATATAAGGACATATAAATAAATATTTGGTAGTCTTTGTTTTATCCTCTCTGAATCATATTAAAATTCCTCATCAGGATAAAATATTTGCAGTGCCCATCTCTACTTAGCATGTGTATTTCAAAACTGTGAGGAAGTTCTCACAGGGGGAAGAAATGGGTTCTGCGGGAATTGCTTTGTTTTCTTTATTACCACATGGTCTACCTCACATAAAAAGGAAATCTACTATAATATTTAAATTAATTCAAATGACCCGTTTACTCTTGCCAAATGTAGCAAAATATATGTGTGGGTGGGTACATGTGGTAGTGTATGTGTGTGTGTTTATGGTATATTTGAACACTTTTTAAAAAAAGATTTAGCCCACCACCACAATATACATATACAAACGTGACCCATGTATGTATACACACACACACACACACACACACACACACACGCGTGCAAATGATTGAGTGTGTTGACATTAGCCTGTTCCTAAGGATTGTATAGTTGTATATAAGAATGAGAGGATTTCTCTGACTCAGGAGTTACAAAATCTCTTTTATTTTCTTATATCCTGCAAACCATGAGAGAGCAAAATTCAGGCTTTGTGCAAAGGGCAGCTGCAGACTGGAGTGAACAAATCCCCAGATGTGCTGAGCCATCAGTTTATCAACATCACTAGGAACATTCGATTTACTATAAAAAAAGATGCATTGTGATTTTTCACGTCTATGCAACAATTATTTCTCCTTTTCCATGCACATTCGATATGGTAATTTCCTTTCACAGAAAGTGATGCATTGTTTCTTTTTTTGAAATCACATTTATTCATGAAAATATTGCATGTCTTTTTCCTGACAGGCAGAGCTATTAATTGAATTACAAGTAAATCCATCTCTGGCTAACTAGACTTCCTTTCATGGAGGTGGTCCTCTGTGTTTGCTGCTTTCTTCTTAGGTACTTTCTTCCTGCTCCTCTAGCTTTAAGGCTTTTAATAAAGATCAGCAAGGTAAAAGAAAAATATGTTGAAATATGGCTAGACAGTATTTTAATATTTTGTAGGACTTAGAATTTGGCCTCTCCCCCCATGGAATTTGTCAGATTCTTGGAGGACAGAATCATTGTGGAAGTTGAAGTAAAGATATGTTGACCAGCAGATATCTGAGGATTATACCTACACATAGGAGCTTCTCACCCAGATTTCCACCAGTTATGGGTGTTCTGCTGTGTGTATGTCGGGTAGGCATAGTGATTGCTGATACTCCGAAATTGTCTATACTATCTGGAAAGCAACTGGCAACAAGACTTCATTAATTTCTTAGGGTTTCCCTAACCAAGTACTACAAATTGAGTGGCTTAAAACAACAGAAATATATTGTCTCACAGTTCTGGATGTTAGGAGTCTGAACTCAAAGCGCCAGCAGGACCATGCTCCCTTTGAAGGCTTTAGGGAATACCCGTCTCTGCCTTTTCATAGCTTCTGGTGGTGGCCACAATCCTTGGCACTCCTTGGCTTGCAGGTGCATCACTCCAGTCTCTGTCTGCCTCTGCCATCACATGGTGCTCTCCTTTTGTGTCTGTGTTCAGTCATCTTCCTTTCCTTATAAGGGGACTAGTCATATTGGATTAAGGGCCCATCCTACTCCACTATGACCTCATCTTAACTAATTATAGCTGTAACAATGCTTTTCCCAAATAAGGTCACATTTGCAGATGGCACATTTGAGATATGGGGGGTTATGACTTCAACATATCTTTATAGAGGACATAGTTCAACCCATAACAAAGACTAAACCCAGTTTTAGAGGTACTGGAATAGCATGGCCAGTTTACATAGAAGTGTTTTAGAGAACAAAGAATAACACAGAAGTCCAGTTATAAGAATTAGAACAAAAGGTCAGAACCAAAGTCAAATCAAGAATAACTTATTGCCAAAGCAGACTATTAGCAAAAGGTATAAGGAAATGTGGCCAAGGTTAGGATTTCTTCTAGAGCTATAATATTGAATTCAGGCAGAGAGAGAGGATTGTGGAAATTGGAAGCCAGATAGGCAGAGATAATCATTAGCATCTTTATCTCTTTAAAGTTTGCAAGAACATGAGACCATCTTTTATATGCCAGGTCCTCTGCTAAGTAACTAGGCAGACACAGTAATGGTAGATTCAGTGTCCTTTAGGGCTTTCTAGCCTTTTGGCAAGACACACATGGCATTTGTAATAAATGTTACTGATTAGAGCAATCAGGCTGATAACTTATACATAAAATGTGTTATTGAATGGAGAGGAGGGATAAATTGATTTTGACAGGAAGGATGTATATTCTGTGTCCCTTAGTCCGCCACTCATTCCCCCATCCCCTTTTGGTATCTGACTTCCTCTCTCTTCCTTCTGTGTCAGTCTGATCCTGGCGAGCGTGTCTTCCAACCTTGCTGTCTGACACTGAAGCCAAAGGCTTCTGCCATAGACTGAATATTTGTGTCCCCCTCAAAATTCACGTCGAAACCTAACACGCAATGTGATGGTATTAGGAGGTGGAGCCTTTGGGAGGTGCTTATATCATGCGGATGGAGCCCTCATGAATGGGATTAGTGTCCTTCCTTTATAAAAGAGACCCCACAGACCTCCCTAGCTCCTTCTGCTATGTGAGGTTACGGTAAGAAGAGGGCTGTCTCTGAGGAAACAGGCTCTCACCTGACCTCGAATCTGCTGGTGCTTTGATCTTGGGCTTTCCAGCCTCCAGAACTGTAAGAAATAAATTGCTGTTGTTTATAAGCCACTCAGTGTATGGTATTTTGTTATAGTAGCCCACACGGTCTAAGACAGCTTCTTTCAGTCTATTTCTGCTTTTGTGTTTGCTGGGTGGAAGGAGGATGAGAGGGAAGAAAAGAGGTCCTCGGTGTACCAGTGAGAAAGCGGCGAGGGAGGGAATTACTTAGAAAACACATAGATTAGCACTGAAATATAACCCTGCCACAGAAAGGCTGTATGGCAGAATCACCTTCTCAACCTTCACTGTAATTAACTTGCCGGCCATGCGGGCTGCTAACCCACTGCTAACTCTGAGGAAACAATTATTGAATTTGAGCATGCTATGACTTAGGATAAATGTAATTTTAGTGGTTGACGTGCATGTATACACTTTCCCCCAATCAGCAAAACGGGCAGATCAGCTGATGCACTCTTTCCTGTACTCGCCTGATCGTGAGAACCACCTGGGGCGACAGTGAAATGTACAGATTCTGCCCCAGCTCCAGCGGATCAGCCTGTCCAAGGAGGGGGCTCTGAACATCTGTGTTTAACTTAGGAGAGCCTCATCATCAGGTAAGTTTGGAAACATTGAGCTAATATGAGGAAATAATTTCTGAGAAGCAAAATAATAGGACACTCAACTTACAAACATCATAACATGCATTGGAAATAACTATCTCATTGACTAAACACATTTTCTCAAGTAAAGAATGACCAGCTGATATCTTAAATCTTTTCTGAGTTTCAGGATGATGGTTTTTCAGATTCACAACCCTGAAATTTCCCCTCTGCCTCATCTTCTGTAATAATATGATCATCGTAATGAATTGTCCAATCAACATTTTTTAACTAAGTGAGAATTCTAGGTAATTTCTTGTGAAACACTATGATATTATTTGTTTAAAAAAGGAATCGGCCCCATGGCCAAGTGGTTAAGTTCCTGCACTCTGCTTTGGCAGCCCAAGGTTTCACTGGTTTGGATCCTGGGCATGGACATGACACTGCTCATCAGGTCATGTTGAGGCAGCATCCCATGTAGCACTGGAATATACAACTATGTGCTGGGAGGCTTTGGGGAGAAGAAGAAGAAAAAAAAAGATTGGCAGCAGATGTTAGCTCAGGTGCCAATTTAAAAAAAAAAAAAAAAGTTCTGTAGAAATAAAAGGAAAATTAACCTGCCTCTTATATGAAAGGAGGAAATGATTTCTTTTTGAGCACTTACCATGATTCTTGTGCCACCCATGCCATATAACTGTCTTCAGATCAGAGCAAGGGTTTCTGTTTTACTGATGGGAAAGCAGACTTGAAAAAGCAAGTGGCCATAGAGTATACGGTAGGCCAGGATCCAAATCTAGATAACTTATTAGGACAGCTAAATCAGAAACTAAGTGGAAATGAAAACACTGGAAATTCATGTTGTATTTTAAAAATAAATCTTCCATATCCTAGGCAAGAAAGAAAAAACTTACAAATGCTTATTTAACTCCTAGAGAATCAACACTGCTTTTGTATTGGCGGTTGTGTTGGTTTTAGCAACATCAGAAAAGTCACTGGGTTCAGAATTCCATAAGGGTGATGAGCAAGTTTAAGTGTAGCAAACAAATAATGAATCAATACAATTTCCCACAAAAACGAAGTAAACACCATTGTCTCCAGGTCTTTTGTTATGCAAAAGCAAGCCATGGGAAAATTTCCAGGAAAAATAAACTCTCAATTTTTTTATATAAGAATATAGGATAATGAGACAAATATTCTCCAGCTTCTCTCAATAGCTAGTTCACTGTTTTGAATTCTACAGATCCTCATAACAATCAACTGTCTTATTATTCTTTCAGATTTTTCTTTTTAATTATTTTGAAATTCATTGGCCTCTTGTATTGACTCTAATTCTAGCCAATGTTAAATCAAACTATTTGGCTTTATGATTTTCTAATACTACCCTAAGCAAGACCTTCCCATTGAAAATAGTTATGGACTCATTTATGTTATTTACCCTTGAAAGATAAAATATAAACATGTACCAGAATCTGTGTCAGGAAGTGTTTTGTTGCAGACAATTTATCAAATATTTAAAGAGAAGATATCAAACTTGGTAGGACATCAAAGAACTTTCCAGAGTAGCATTACAATAGGAGAAAATAATGCCACGGTATATCATACAGTGCTGTAGAATGTACACTGGGCTTTCATAGAGATTCTGACTCATATTCAGCTTCTAGGTTTCTCATGCATAAGTTATACTAGTAACTTATTCAGGTCAATTTTACAGGTAAGTTCCTGGTAACCTCTCACCCCGGGGATAAAACTATCCCTGTGAGGATGAGAGTGAAATAATTCACGTTAAGCACACGGCATAATGTCTGCTTCACTGAAACTCACCAGTAAAATTTAGTCATTATTAAAGGCTGTTATTATTATAGCTGCCTCTCCAGCATGTTTCCTTCAAAATAAGCAGTCCTATTGAAAACAGGAAACGTTAAAGCTTTGTTTTGCTGGTTGCTGTAGCAAGAAATTTGAAAGCAGCATGAGATTTTATAAGGAAAAAGAATTCATTTAATACTGCAGTAGGATCCTTTGAGAGATGAAATATTTATATACGTCTGTCACACATATGGAAAATTACAAATAAATACAAAAGTAGAGAGAATAGTGTAATGAACCCATCACCAGCTTCAACAACCATCAGCTCATGGCCAGTGTTCTTCTTCTCCACCCACTGCACACATTATTTTAAAGCAAACTGCAGACTCAGTTCACTAAATAAAATTCTTAATCAACTTTGATCTTATGAAATCAGGTAAGAATCAACACCATTAATCCATTTATGATCTAAAGAGCAAAAACATGTGAAAAGACTCATATTGTGGACTTTAATCTTCTAAAACAAAAGAATAAAATATCTATCTCTATTTAAAGCTCAAGATGATATCCAGTGTTTCTTATTAAGCTCTCATATATGATTGGAAAACAATAAAATTTACTGAAAAATTTTCAATATTAAAATATTTTGAATGAATATTCCTTGATGACACTATCACTTGTGCATTTAAAAAGTAACAAAATGTTCTAAAATAAATCTTTCTAATTATCACTGGATCTGATATTTGGTAAGTGTAGGGGAGGAAGACATTTCCTCTACCTGCTCTGGGTCCTTCTGGCTGGACAACGAATTAAATTCACATGAGACACAATAACAGGAGAAAATTAAACAAAACTTTATAACATGTATACATGGGAAAGACTCAGGCAAAAGGAGCAACTCACCAAAATGGCTGAAGCTCTCCCCTTAAATACCACCCTCAGCTAAAGACAAAGGAGGATGTTGGGGATGGGGGAGTTGATCATGGGAAGTTACCAAAAAAGCACAGTAAACAAGAGTAAGGTTATTATGCAGATTTAAGTCCTTGCCTTCCTCATTGATAAGAGTTTCTAGAGATAAGGTCATCCCCCCTTTTTCCTGGTACAGAGGGGGAGACACCTTTACAGATGGAGATTTCCTTTACAAATGTAAATGTCTCTTAACAAAGGGTAACTGGATCCTAATTTTCAGTTTCTTTCCTGTCTACAGTTTTTAAAAAAGTAACCAGCCCAAAATAATTCTCATGCCAAAGAGACACATCTTGGGGTGGCCAGTTCCAGTCCCCAACAGTAAGGGTTATCTGGCAAGGTAACTAATTCATATTTCTCAAAGAGACAAATGAAGCTCCACTGAAAGTAGAGATGACTTTTTTTTAATCTTAGATATTTGGATTATAGCAATAAGAAAAATGGATTAAGTCAAAGAGGAAGAAATGTCTGTGTCTATTAGTACTACATGGCATTTAACTGAACTAAAGTCTTGGCATGGGTACAGTCCCTCCTAAGTGCTGTAGAATATTCACCATCTTCAGATGCTGGCAGCAACACAAACTGGCCCTAGAACAAACAACATGCACATTTTCTTCCTATGATAATGTGTATTAGTTATCTATTGCTGTGTAACAAATCACACCAAAACTTGGAGGTTTAAAACAACATACAGTGATTATCTCACAGTTTCTGTTGATCAGGAATCTGGGCCCAGCTTACTGGGTCCTCTGTTTCAGAGTTTTTCACAAGGCTGCAGTCAAGGTGTTGGCTGCAGCCATCTCCAGGTTCATCTGGTGCAGGGTTATTTGGAGATTGCCAGCGAGATTCAATTCCTCACTGGCTGTTGTACTGAAGGCCTCAGTTACCCAGTGGCTGTCAGCCAGAGGTTTCTCCCAGTTGCTTGTCATGTGGGCCTCAGACATGTTGTTAAAGCCAGCAAGAGAGTATGTTAGTAAGACAGAAGTCACAATTTTTGGAACCTAATCAAGGGAAGTATTCTACCCATTAGACGCAAGTCACTAGGCCCAGCCCCCACTGAAGGGGAGGGCATTACACAGCTGTAAATACCAGGAGGCATGATTGTTGGAGGCCATCTTGGAAGTTGATCTATAGCATAAGGTCTTTACAGCTTCAGTCCACAGGCTGCATTTCCTTTTGCTTCAGATTTCTTTGTTTTCTACCACGTCCCATGAAAACCTTTGGCCTGAAATATATTAAGCCAAGAAATTCACAAACGTGAGAAGAGAGAGGAGAGTGCCTCAATATAAGCAAAATTTTGGTTCTTAGATATCTATGAAAATGATAAAGTTACAGAAGCAGCAGAAATTTTAGAGCATAACATTCATCCATATGGTAATGATTTTAGTACAAATCATACAAATTTGTACAAACAGGACGTGCTGATTGGTCAGACACAGCACATTTTCTGTGTTTTTAATGTGAATGGCTTTAGTGCAGGATGCTCTCTTTAGTTCCTTTCTGGCCCTTTCTACTGCTCCTGGGCCACTTCGACCCTGGTTGGTTTCTCATGTTAATGTAAGTAACATGCCCGGTACCAAATCATTTGAGTGGAGGCTCCCTATAGTATAAGGTACCACTTGGCAAAAGCTATTCACATATTCCATGCATTTGAGTTGACTCCATTTCCCAGCTTCTTAATGATGGAGTCTTAGAACCTCTTTCATGCTCTAGAAGAGGATTGCATATAGAGAGAGAGCATATTGAGAGAGCATATAACTCATTGCTGTGCTTACTACAGGCGATCAGCAAACCCACATAGCAAATATTTTAGGTTTTGCAAGCCACATGTGGTTTCTGTCACGTATTCTTTACTTTGTTTTGCTTTTTGTAACTCTTTAAGAATGGAAAAACCCTTCTTAGGTCCAGACAGTATGAAAGCAGACTACACGTTGGATTTGGCCTATAGGTTGTAGGCTGTCAACTCTGTTAAAGATTTGTTTTCTGTAATTTTTTGGTGTTCAAAAGCTGAAATGCCATAATCCTCAAATTTGAGACACAGACATGCTTGTTACAAAGAGTGTTTCAAATTTACCTGTTGATTGTAGTTAATATTTTTCCTTTATATCTACTAACATGTTGGTTGAATATAAAATATTAAGTAAATAATAGTCCACCTGTGATGCTCCACACTTTGTGGGCCATTTTGATTTGGGAAATTTCTCTGCCCTACCTCAGTTACCATTTCATCCCTTTCTTTTTCTCCTACTTTTTTAATGAACTTGTTATTACTAAGATGTTGGATGTCTTGAATTGATTGTTCTCTCACATTTTCCCACTCATCTTTGGGTTTTGGTCATGCTTTTGGGGAGGTTGCCTTAATTTTTATCTTTCAGCCCTTGTATTGTCCTTTAGAAAGTTCTATTTCTGAGAGCCCTTTTTTGTTCTCCAATTGTTCATTTTCCATAGCACTCTGCTCTGGTTTTATGGAATATCTTCCTGATTGTTCTGAGGATATTAATTAAAGACAATAGTTTTGAAGAAAACCTCAAACTCCAGGGGTATTTTTTCCTGACTATTTTGGTATCTTTCTTTCATATGGGAGGTTTTCTTCAAATGTCTCATAAAGTTCCGTTTCCATTAAAATTTCACAGTGATACTCTGAAAAGCAGATCGAAAACTGTGTGTGGTTTAGCTTGAGAACTACTCATCCATTGGCTGTTTTTCTTGTTTAACTGGAGGATTACTCATTCATTGGCTGTTTTTCTTGTTTAGCTTGAGGACTACTCATTCATTGGCTGTTTTTTCTTGTTTCAGCAAAATACCATTGGTGGAAGTACATCCCAAGGACCACTAAGTTCTTCAGAGAAGAAGCTGCCAATCTCTTCCCTGAGGTGAGAGATAGGAGGAGCTTAGCTATGCGTGGGGTGGGAAAGAGGGTGGAAGAGTTAACTGTATACAATTTTTGTACTAACAAAAATTCAATTTTGTCGTATGCCTCCTCATCACTTTCCTCTGCACTTTGAGTCTCCCTAGTCCTAAACCCTCCCAGTCCTGGCAAGTGAACTGTTCCTCTTCATGCACTGTCTGGCTTTGTGACCGTGGCTGCCTTAGCCTTATTAAATCCATATATGTTAATGTTCTTTAAAAATTGATTGAAATTCTTCCTCTGCTGCTGTCCTCCTTCCCGTGTTCTCTTTGTATTTGTCGGTTTAGATCTTTTTTTCTTTCATATTATTTTTAGTGGATTTTTAGGAAGGAGATTAGATGAATAGTTTACTGACTCTATATGCTTAATGCTTAATTTGGCTTCATCTTGAATTCATTAATTTTATTGGTATATGTTCTTTAGGAATTCTATTAAATGCAATTTGAAATTGGTAAATTTTATAGTTTCTAATCACTTTGTTTGCCATTACATTTGAATAATAATTTATTTAGCTGGGAAAGTCAAAAGGTTATTTTTCTCAGAACTTAGAAGATACCGCTCCATTTTCTTTGTGTATCTAGTGTTACTAGTGAAATGTCTAATTTCAGTCTGACACCTGATAGTTTGGAGATAATTTTTGGTTGTTAGTTGACAGTCAACAGGATCCTGAGAAGTTTTCCCCAGTTTTATAGTAGGAAAGTTTTCAAACAAATAGGGAAGTTGGAAGAATGGTGTAGGAAATACTCAAATACCTGCCACCTAGATGAGTATGTAGCCTTATTTGCTTGATGTGCCCCTCTCTATACGTGTGTACATTCTTTTGTTTAACCATTTGATAATAAGTTGCAGCCATCGAGGGATTTCACCTCGAATTATTCAGCATATTTCTCTAAAGAGTAAGAACAATCTTCTATTTGCCACAATCCTCTTACCACATCTAGGGAAATTCATACTTATTATTTTATAGTAATATTTTATATTTTCTTCTCTTCTACATTTTAGAATTTGTCCTTGATGCTTTGATATTTTACTTTTATGTGTACTAAAGTTGGAGCTTTCTATATGATTTTTTAAGCTACTCTGCTTAACACTTAAACAAGCTCTTTCAACCTTACACCAAGTCTTTTTCAATCCTAGGACATTTTCTTCTCTCATTTTGTATTTATTTTACGAACCACTCCCTCTCTTTGTTCTCTGTGCCGTCTTCCTCAGGAACTGCCTCTGGAACTTCTGGATATACACGCTATGTCTCTTATCCTTTGTTCATTTTACTGTTTATACAATCTCTGCAGTATTTTTTAAGCTAATGATGAATTATTAAATTTTGTAGATCTCTTTTTGAGATTTTTATGGATACAATATCTTCCTGAAACTCTCTGGGGGGGAAGGTGTCTCCATTTTCTAAAGTTTCATTTAGTTTGCCTCCATTAGCTCTATTACTTTATAGTTTTCCCTCAAATGTATTGTGATTACTGGCTGTGTGCTCATCTTTATTTGAATTTCCCTGCTAGCCATCTGTGGACATAGTATGTTTTTACTATAATCTGCCTCTTTTGATTATGAGGAAGGGATACAATGTGGTGACAGATGGAGTGGCTGGTAGCCATTTTTCTTTATATGGGGACTTTCCCATTCTTCTTGTTTTGCCAACATGCAAATGTATGCATGCAGAACGGTCTTCTGTGTCATATGCTGCAATAATGAGAAGCCCTGGGCAGAAAGCTTGGGCACTTGAGGGGATTAGTTATGATAGCACAACATAAGACAAAGCCATCATGGAACTGTTTGCCATAGACATGGCTGAAATCAAGAGTGAGACTGAGGAGGTGTAAGGCAGGCACCATTGGCATCTGATACAGAAAATGAGATAGGAAACTTCAGGCAAAAGATGTTAGAAAGACTCCTTCCCATTATAGTCCCTATGAGACACAGGAGAAGCTTAATAAAAGCAAAGACAGGTCCTGCTTGCAGTTACCTGTCACCTGCCTTTACAAGGACAATGGCATATCCAAATGAACATCAGGTGACACCAGCTTCTCACAACATTTCAAACTTGCTTCAAAGGAATACATTTTAGACCAAGATATACAAATACCACCCAAAACCCTCTTTTCATTGCCACTTTTTGGTATTACCTCCTAATTTCAGAATCTACCCAACACTGTAATAATTCACAGCATGGCAATGAGAAAATGGGCCATTATTAGGAGATATGGAAGGAACTGGTGACACATGCTATCTTCACCTACAGCAAGGATGTTTGTCCTTTCAAATCCTCCAGTTTCTTTTAGCTCTTTACTCCTTGTGATTTTTAGCATCTTCCCACTTCTGAAGGACCTGGACTTTACCAGACATCTCAGAACAGGTTTATAACTTTTCAATCATTATTAGATCCAATGTATGCTAAAATTATGTGTACTGTATATTCACTAGGGGAAATTATTCTCTGACAAAGATGATGGGCGAACTTTCACTGAATAACTTCATTTTATAGAAAAAAAACCCAGAGAGTTGGTACGTTATTGAATCCTGGAGGACAAAAGGGGAAAAGGCTATCAGAGGAGATTTACCTCTAACTCCCACTGTTTATGGAAATATTTCACAATACAATTCTACTGGATATTTTGCTTTTAAAGCTTCCTTTTAAAAAAAAAACGGAAAAAGTTATCATATGAGTGAAAGCAACAAGGAGAGAAACAGTTTTAAGAATCTTGGAAATACGATCTGTTCCATGTTGCTGCAGCAGCATCAAGTTTGAGGCAGGGGGTTCATAGCTGAAGGGGTAGGCAAGGGTTAGATCGTGAAGAAGTATCACAGTAAGTTGTCCAGATGTTATTCTGTAGATGATCATTGAAGGATATTAAACTGGAAAATGTTGTAATCAGCCTTCATCTAAGACGAGTGATCGGAAGCTTTGTGGAGAATGAAAATGAAGAGACAAAACCAGGAGCAGAGAGATTGTTTATGCGTCTTTTGCATCTCCAAGAGGGTTGTGATGGCAGCCTGATGCCTAGCATTTATAGTGTAGATGGAGAAGTGGGCTCTAGGCACCAGAGTATTTGAGATATAGTCAATGACTAAGTTAAGGGTGTGATATAAACAGTGAGGGAGTAGGGTGCTGAAAGGTACACCGATTCAAGCTTGAGTTAAGGTGGCTGTTTGTAGAGCCAGTGGATGTTGGGTATATAGAAGGGTTTAGGGAAGGGATGCAGGGTAGTGGGAGGAGGTTAGTTTTAGAATATTTGATTTAGGTTCCTCTCAAAAGTTAATAATTGGGTCCAGCTAGTGAAAATATTTGTTTAAATCTCAAGAAGGAGAGGGAGTTGAGTTGAAAACATAGATTTGGAAGTCAAAAACATACTGATGATAGTTAAAAATGACATAAGATGAGTTAATTTTACACAATTTTTGTCTATGCTTAAGACAAGAAACTGAGGAAAAAATCTAAAATTAAAGAACATGTGAAAGAAAGAGACTCCACTTATAGAAGTAGGAATAAAAGTAAAAAAATCATATGTTTTGGAGAACAAGGACATAAATTCTAAAAAGAATGAGCTGCACAGAGTCAAGGGCTAGGTGGTTGGCTGTCACTTGAGTAGGGACAACTTAGACCAGAGGAAAGAAGGTAAAAATGGATTGGTGGTAAATAAGTTTTTAAATAGGGTGGAAAGTTCAGAATCAAAAACCAACCAAACAAACAAACCACTGAAAGCTTTAAGCATAATCTAAGTAGAAGGTGACATTGAGAAGATGTATGACAACAAGAAGGTAGGGGACTGGAAGTTGGATTGTGAATTTAATGGCAAGGAAGTGATGGTTTAGATTGTGAAGTCATTGCATGGAATGGGAGGGAAAACTCACATTAGCCGTTAGCTAATGAAAGGGCAGATAGGAGGCGCCAAAGCCTTGTGAAGCTAGAGCCTTGAAGTTTGACTTCATCAGTTTGCAGGATCGTGCGACTTTCTCCAGCAGGGCTCAGTCCCTGATAGAGTAGGAGAAAAGGTGGATTATTCCTTGTCTTTTGTCCAAGGGTCAGGTAATATGAAGAGTAGGTCTAGCAGGAGGATAGGATATAGGTAAACTGAGGTACTGGTGAAAAGGTACAAAGAAGCTCAATCATGAGGTTCAGGGTAGGTAGTAAAGCTCTTGCTGAGAGGGCACATATACTTGGCTGAGGGGAGAGGAGGAACTAAGGAGAGGGAGGTCTTTGGGGGTAGCGATGAGATCCTCTGAGAAATGGAAGGTGAGGAGGTTGTGGTGGGAGTGAGGGATATTGGAATCTATGATTTCTGAGGCCTAGACACATTCTTGAGGCCATAATTGAACCCGACTGGTTTGGTCATAAGGACAGAAGATGAAGACCGAAAGGATTATTTCTATCATATGTAACTATCTCTTCATCAGCGCCCCAGATCAGTGCTGGGGATGAAACAACACAGTGGTTATCCATTCACAATCTTTCTGATTCTTGTCCCTTTTACTTTATCATTTAAGGGAAATCTGGTTAAAAGCAAACATTAATGGGAGCCAGGGAAGAGCTGACTATGCAGAAGAATAGGTAAGCTAATCTATTAAACATCCCCTTAATCACCACTCAGACATAATGTGATTATGAGCAATCACTGTTGGGAATATTCGCAAGGTGGGAATATTGTACCGCAGGAAATATCATATTATATACTTATTTCAATATATTTTAACAAAATGCTATGTGATGGAATAATCTGATACTAGGTGTAATGTTTAAGGATACGTCAAAGAGAGGATGACTTAGCCTAGAGGTTTTGAAACTCTATGGAAAAATGGAAATCTTGGGCTGTTCTCATTAACTATTGTGGATAACCACTGTATTTCCCAATCTGCAAAGTATGCAAATCGTGGAATATTCACAAAAAAGCTCTTGGAAAATGGCGACAAGAAAGTAGGTAATCTAAATGACTTTTCTTCCAGAGAAAATTATTAGAG